ACAACTGGGACCTCTTCTATGGCAGAAATGACATGTATGCCAGGGATGGGGTTCACTTGTCTAGGTTGTGGGGTGGGAGCACTGGCCAACGCAGTGGAGGGAGCTGTTAGGTCTTTAAACTAGGAATAGTTAGTGGTATGGGTTTTGGCGGGAAAACTGTGAAGTCGCAGGGTAGTAACATGAGTACTAGGAGAACTAGTAATAGGCAAAATGAGGAGGATATTGGAAAGCCAGTGGCACTAAATTGACAATGACAGTAATAGGTTTAGTGGAATAACAGAAAGGAGCAGGAAGGGTAAAGAGATAGGAGGGTCATTAAATATTTATTACACAAATAGTCGCAGTGCTAGGAATAAGATGGACGAGTTGAGACTAGTTGCTAGTGCAGGTAACATAGATGTATTTGCCATTACTGAGACGTGGTTTAATTCAAAAAGTCGGGACATGCCTGCAGAATGTCACATTCAGGGTTTTAAATTGTTCCAAGTAGATTGAAGTATCGGGAAGGGGGGTGGGGTGGCATTGTATGTCCGAGATCGCTTGAACTGTTGCATGAAAACAGGTATTAAGTCTGAAGTAACACATACAGAGTCTGTTTGGATAGAATTTTCAGAGGGGCATCAAAAATTAATTTTAGGTGTGATATACCGTCCCCCAAATTTAGATAGGGACCAGGGGAGACTACTATGGGAGGAAATTGTTAGGGCCACAAGGCACGATAATGTAGTAATTCTAGGAGACTTTAACTTTAGTCATATTGATTGGAATTTCTTAACTGGGAATTTAGAATCATACGATTTCTTAGAAGTAGTTCAGGATTGTTTTCTGAAGCAGTTTGTGACAGAACCTACAAGGGGTAATAACCTGCTTGACTTAGTTCTGGCAAACAATGAATCCCTTGTTAATAATTTAGAAGTTTCAGAGGAACTGGGTGCCAGCGACCACAAATCAATTACATGTAGAATTGAATGGAAGTATGATAGTAGGGATAACTCAGTAACAGTCCCAGATTTTCGCTTAGCAGATTACGATGGGCTTAGAGAACACTATCATCTGTTGACTGGGGTAACGAAGAGAGCTATCAATATGACAGTTTTCTGAACAACAATACATGCTGCTCAAAGAACGTTTATCCCTTATAAGGAAATTAGATCAAATAGAAATGACCCAAAATGGATGAATAATAGGCTGAAAATATCTACTAGGGCATAAGAAAGGAATTTATAGGCGTATCAAAAGAGGCGAGGGTCATCTTATGAATCAGTATATTGACATTAAGAGGGACATTAAAAAGGGGATAAGAAAAGCTAAAAGGGACTATGAAATTAAAGTTGCTAGGGATTCTAAAACTAACCCAAAAAGTTTTTTTCCAGGTCTATAGAACAAAAGTCAGAGATAAGATAGGTCCCCTTAAAAATAACTATGGGCATCTTACTGACAAAGAGAATGAAATGTGCTCGATTTTAAATAATTATTTTCTCTCGGTTTTTTACACAGGAAGACACTAATAATATTCCGGTAATTAATTTTTATAGTGGATCAGAAGAAGATAAATTATGTAATATCACAGTCACTAGTGAAATGGTTGTGAAGCAGATAGACAGACTGAAGCAAAATAAGTCACCGGGTCCTGATGAGGTTTTTTCAAGGGTTCTAAAGGAATGCAAAATGGAAGTCTGTGAACCATTAACTAATATTTTTAATTTATCTCTTCAAACAGGTGCAGTGTCTGATATGTGGAAGATGGCTAATGTAATTCCTATTTTTAAAACAGGGGACAAGTCGTTACCGTCAAATTACCGCCCAATAAGCCTGACCTCAATTGTAGGCAAATTACTAGAGTCAATTATAGCTGAGATTATAAGAAGCCATCTCGATAAGCATAGCTTGATTAATGATACTCAGCATGGATTCACAAGAGGCCGGTCTTGTCTAACTAATTTATTAACTTTCTTCAGTAAAGCTTTTGAGGCTGTTGACCACGATAAAGAATTTGATATTATTTACTTAGATTTTAGTAAGGCATTTGATAGAGTGCCGCACCAAAGACTGTTGAAGAAAGTAGCAGCTCATGGCATTGGGGGAAGGGTGCTCTCGTGGATCGAATCATGGCTCACAGACAGGAAGCAAAGAGTGTCCATAAATGGGGTTAAATCCGAGTGGGGATCAGTAACAAGTGGCGTTCCACAGGGATCAGTCTTGGGCCCGTTGTTGTTTATAATATATATCAATGATCTTGATGAAGGAATTACTAGTGATATGAGCAAATTCGCCGATGACACGAAGATAGGTAGGATAACTGATTCAAACGTAGATGTTAGGGAACTTCAGGAGGATTTAGACAAACTCTACTCTTGGTCAGAAAAGTGGCAGATGCAGTTCAATGTAGATAAATGCAAGGTTCTGAAGCTCGGGAGTGTCCATAACCCTAGCACTTATAAGTTAAATAATGTAGAACTTAACCATACAGATTGCGAAAAGGACTTGGGGGTTATGGTAAGCAGCAACCTTAAACCAAGACAGCAATGCCTAAGCGTACGTAATAAGGCAAATAGATTACTGGGATTTATATCAAGAAGTGTAAGCAACAGAAGTCCAGAGGTCATACTGCAGCTTTATACATCATTAGTGAGGGCTCACCTAGATTATGCAGTTCAATTCTGGTCTCCATATTACAGAATGGACATAAATTCGTTAGAAAACATTCAGCGTAGGATGACTAAATTAATACATAGCATTAGAAATCTTCCTTATGAAGAAAGATTGAAGACTCTTAAGTTACATTCACTTGTTAGACGAAGAATGAGGGGAGACCTGATCGAAGTGTATAAGTGGAAGATAGGTATTAATAAAGGGGATATTAACAAGGTCTTGAGAATATCTCTCCAAGAGAGAACCCGCAGTAATGGATTTAAATTAGATAAGTTTAGATTTAGAAAGGACATAGGAAAGTATTGGTTTGGAAATAGGGTAGTAGATGAGTGGAACAGTCTACCTAGTTGGGTTATTGAGGCTAGGACTTTGGGTAGTTTCAAATTTAGGTTGGATAAATACATGAGTGGGATGGGTTGGATTTGAGTGGGACTTGCACATCAGAGCTTATTTCTTGGGTAGCATTGAAAATTGGGCAGGTCAAATGTTTGTTAGTGGGATGAATTGTAAAGGACCTGCCTAGTATGGGCCAACAGGCCTGCTGCAGTGTTCCTCCTTTCTTATGTTCTTATGTTCTTATGAAAGAGATAGTGTGTGTGATTGAGTGTGAGTGAGTTAGAGAGAGAAAGAGAGAGAGAGGGGGAAGGGAGTGTTAGAATGTGTGGGGCGTGTGAGTTGGGTAGGATCAGCCTGTAGTGTGCTTGCAGGCCTAGGAGGCGAGAAGAGGTGAAGGGGAAGATGGAGGAGGTACAGGAAGAGGAGGAGGAGGAGGAGGAGGAGGAGGAGGAGGAGAAGGAAGGGATAGTGGAATAGGAGAGTGGGAGAAAGAGAAAGGGGAAGTAGGGTGGTACAAGGAGAGTGTGAACTGTGGGTGTTGGAGTGGGTATGTGAGATGTATCCATTAGGGTAGGGTGTGTGTGTGTGTGCGTTACTATCCTGCCACCCGAGTCAAGCGGTGGCCCGGTGGCCTGGTGGCTAAAGCTCCCGCTTCACACACGGAGGGCCCGGGTTCGATTCCCGGCGGGTGGAAACATTCGACACGTTTCCTTACACCTGTTGTCCTGTTCACCTAGCAGCAAATAGGTACCTGGGTGTTAGTCGACTGGTGTGGGTCGCATCCTGGGGGACAAGATTAAGGACCCCAATGGAAATAAGTTAGACAGTCCTCGATGACGCACTGACTTTCTTGGGTTATCCTGGGTGGCTAACCCTCCGGGGTTAAAAATCCGAACGAAATCCTATCTTATCTTATCTTATCTTAGAGAGGAGGAGAGGGAGGCATAATCTCGCTGTCAGGCTTTTGGGCCTATCCTAGACTCTCCACGTGCATGCTGCCATGACTGTATTCCCAGTACCGAGTACTGGGAATACCGTGCCTATGCCTTTGCACCTACTCGTGTATACCTGGATCTATACTTACTGTGTAAACACCTGTGCACCTACTCGTGTATAATTGGGTCTATACTTACTTACTGAGTAAACACCTGTGTACCTACTCGTGTATACCTGGATCTATATTTACTTACTGAGTAAACACCTGTGTACCTACTCGTGTATACCTGGAGCTATGCTTACTGAGTAAACACCGGTGCACCTGTTTGTGCATACCTGGAGCTATACTTACTTGCTGAATAAACACCTGTGCACCTACACGTGTATACCTGGAGTTATACTTACTGAATAAACAATGTTAGTGTTAGTTGTCCAACCTTACTGCCTGCGCGTGCACTACAGTGCCTCTGGTCCCCACCTTTATTCCCCTTCCCCACTTCTACTCCTCTGTTTAGTGATTAGTGCCCTAAGTATGATATTCAGCTCTCCAGAGCAGGGTTTATCAACCACGATTATGACCTGTGTGTGTGTGTGTGTGTGTGTGTGTGTGTGTGTGTGTGTGTGTGTGTGTGTGTGTGTGTGTGTGTGTGTGTGTGTGTGTGTGTGTGCGTGTGTGTGTGTGTGTGAGTTTGTAAGAAGTAAAGAAAAGCTGATTGTGGCATGCAAAGAGTACGTAACCTTTATTCGGCGCATGTACACACCCTCATTGAAAGGCTATCTCCCCCACCCAGGGAACCAGCGGCTAAGGGTTGATGATGGGGCCCCATCGTTCAACCAGTACCCAGGTTCCAGCCAATGAGAAGATGGTTTTTGGCAATCGCAGAGGTGATGTGGGTACCACTCACCCGTCTACCCTTGTCATTCCCATTCTAGAGCTGGTTGAAGCACGGTCTGCTCTCTAGTGGCTTCTATTCTGCCTTGCTTACCGTGGAGTGCACTAATACCTATCGCTGTACATAGTGTATATAGTGTACATACCTCTGTTCTAAATTGGTGAAGGATAATATAAGTCAAAAAATTTTCTGCTGTGTTTATTTTGCTCCCTTTACACCCAGGATAACAGGCCTTTTGAACTCCCGGGTTGTAATACTGGTAAAAGGTAAAGTTTAACAAAGTTGGTACAAATATTCCCTACAATTTATTTAAACCCACTAGCAGTTTAAAAAACGATATAGCAATGTAAATTTACACATAGTGAACCAAGGCATAACGACGTAATTGGAATGTTTATCGTCGTCTGTTGATGGTACAATTCACATTGTTGTGGGTTAATTTTAGCCATATGTGTTACTGGTGATTGGCGTTAATACTAGATTGACGCCTTCTTCTGGTCTCAAAAGGAACGGAGATCTATCAATCTTCAGCTCCGTGTGGTTCTTGTCAAGGTGTATTTCTGCTGCTAGCAGCAGCTTAGCAAGAGCCACCTTGGCCTCCATCAGGGCAAAACGCATACCTAATAAAAAAAATCAAGATTATATTTGAGAGAGTATGTGTAACTTTAAAAGATTATATTTACTATTAAATTTCACTTAGATTTAGTTATTACACACACACACACACAAACACAAACACACACAAACACAAACAAACAAACGAACGTTTGAGACACTACCAGGCAGAGCAGAGGATGAACCAGCAAGACGGGACTTAATATTCACCTTGAGTAGTTCAGACATTGACGACGTCACATATGAAAGGCCCCTTGGAGCTAGTGTTCACGTGGTCCTGAACTTCGAATACATAGTAGAGTTACAAGCAGAGATGGAAGCAGGGAGAGAAGGACTGGACAAGCCAAACACAGGCAGAGGAGAGGTTCGTACCCAAGGGGAACATAAATAATGGATTGTCGAGAATGAGCCCATCGTTCACCCGAAGGTGTAGAGAGGCCAAAAGCAAGTGTGCTAGTGAATGGAGAAAGTATAGAAGACATAGCACCAAGGAAAATAAATAGATTAGTCGAAGAGCCAGCAACGAATATACACAGATAAGGAGGGAGGCCCAGTGGCAATATGATAATGACAGCATTGAAAACCAAGTCTGACCCGAAAATACTATATAGCCACATCAGGAGGAAAACAAAGTCAGAGACGTAGTCAGGCTGAGGAAGGAAGAGGGGGAGATCACAAGAGACGACCGAGATGTTTGTAAAAGAGCTAAACATGAGATTTAAGGAAGTATTTTCAGAGACTGAAAGGGCTCCAGAAATCCGGAATGGTGGAGTACATCAACAAGTGCTGGACACAATACAAACAAAACCGAGGAGGAAGTGAGAGGCTGCTGAGTGACCTAGATACCTCAAAGTCAATGGGACCAGACAGTACCTGTTTGTATGTCTTGAGGGAGGGAGCAAAGCACTGTGTGTGCTACTAACAACAATCTTCAACATATCTGATAGTAATCACATGTGCAACATCTGGGTATCTTTATTGTAGACGTTCCGCCATCCAGTGGCTTTATCAATACAAATTCCAGGACATAATTTGAAGATAGAACTATATACAGAAGACGAGGCCATCAATCCCTCAGCCTTGGAGTTGGTGTGGAGAGCACCGTGATTGTGGAGATTCTGGAGCAAAGGCAAGGCGGCCGGCGCTTATATACTAACGCCAGGCGGATAGGCACATGTATCAGACGAGGGCATAGTCACTGGTAGGCGGGATTCCCCAGTGGAAGTAGGTCAAACCAAAAGAGATGGGTTAGTTGTAGTAGTAGGTTATGTACATGTTCTCTTTCTGAGGTCATGTACATAACTCATCTCTTTAGGTTTGACCTACTTCCACTGGGAAATCCCACCAACCAGTGACTATGCCCTCGTCCCTTTCCACATGACGTTAGTATATAAGCGTCGACTACGGTGATCTCCACACTAACTCCAAGGCTGAGGGACTGATTACCTCATCTTCTGTATATAGTTCTACAGTCTTCAAATTATGTCCTAAAATTTGGATTGATAAAGCCATTGGATGGCGAAACATCTACAATAAAGATACCCAGATGTGGCATATGTGTCTAAATATCTTATCGGTATTGCATAGCACTCTTGTTCAACATATCTATCGAAACAGGGCGACTACTTGAGGTGTGGAATACAGCAAATGAAGTGTCATTTTTCAAGAAAGGAGAGAGACATTCAGCGTTAAACTACAGACCAATATCACTGATTTGTATGGTAGGCAAAAATCATGGATATTATATTAAAAATTAGCATGGGTAGCGCTAAACCCGAAGGGATTATACAGTGCCTGTGGGGGAGGGAAAAGATGGAAGGCCAGTCAGAAGTTTATTAAGAGAAGAGTGGTGGAGCACCTAGAGAGGAATGAGTTTATACACGACGACCAGCACGGTTTCAGAGAAGGAAAATCCCGTGTCACAAACCTACTGGTGTTTAATAACAAGGTGACGGAAATAAGACGAGAGAGAGAGAGAGAGAGAGAGAGGTGGGTATATTGCATTTTCTTGGACTGTAGGAAAACTTTCGACACAGTTCCACACAAGAGGTTAGTACAAAAGACAGAGGATCAGGCAGGTGTAACAGGAAAGGCACTGCAATGGATCAGAGAATACCTGACAGGAGGGCAAGAACGAGTAATGATACGTGGTGAGGTGCTAGGACTCAGTCCTAGGACCGGTACTGTTTCTGGTATATGTGAATGACATGACAGAAGGGATAGATACAGAAGTGTCCCTGTTTAGCAGACGATGTGAAGCTAATGAGACGAATTCAAGTGGTTGATTCATCTGAGTCTTCAACTTTCAACTGTTTCCCCTTGTTGCTGAGTCCCATCTCTAGAACATCCTGTCCCTGCCCATTTTGTCGATTCCTCTCAGTATTTTATACGCCGTTATCATATCCCCCTATCGTCTGTCCTCTAGTGTCGTCAGGTCGGATTTCCCTTATCCTCTCCTCGTAGGACATGCCCCATAGTTCCGGGACTAGTCTTGTTGCAAACCTTTTCACTTTCTCTATTTTCCTTACGTGCTTGGTTAGGTGTGGGTTCCAAACTGGTGCTGCATAGTCCAATATAGGCCTAATGTACATGGTGTACAGGGTCCTGAACGATTCCTTATTGAGATGTCAGAATGTTGTTCTTAGGTCTGCTAGGCGCCCGTATGTTGCAGCAGTTATTTGGTTGATGTGCACCTCAGGAGATGTGCTCGGTGTTATACTCACACCAAGATCCTTTTCCTTGAGTGAGGTTTGTAGTCTCTAGCCCCATGGACTGTACTCCTTCTGCAGTTATTTTTGCCCTAACCCTAATCTTCATGACTTTGCACTTGGTGGGGTTGAACTCCAGGAGTCAGTTGCTGGACCAGACCTGTAGCCTATCCAGATCCCTTTGCAGCTCTGCCTGGTCCTCGTCCGATTGAATTTTTCTCATCAACTTCACATCATCGGCAAACAGGGCACTTCGGAGTCTATACCTTCCATCATGTTTGAGTACGTGTGTGTACTCACCTATTAGTACTCACCAATTTGTGGTTGCAGGGGTCGAGACTCGGCTCCTGGCCCTGCCTCCTCACTGACCGCTACGAAGTCCTCTCTACCCCTGCTCCATAAGGTTTATCATACCTCGTCTTAAAACTATGTATGGCTTCTGTCTCCAATGCATCACTTGCCAGACTATTCCACTTCCTGACAACTCTATGACTGAAGAAATACTTCCTAACATCCCTTTGACTCATCTGGGTCTTCAACTTCCAATTGTGACCCCTTGTTTCTGTGTCCCATCTCTGGAACATCTTGTCTTTGTCCACCTTATCTATTCCTCACAATATTTTGTATGTCGTTATCATGTCACCCCTAACTTTCCTGACTTTCAGTGCCGTCAGGCCGTTTACCCTTAACCTTTCTTCGTAGGACATTCCCCTTAGCTCTGGAACTAGCCTTGTAGCAAACCTTTGCACTTTTTCTAATTTCTTGACGTCCTTGACCAGGTGTGGGTTCCAAACTGGTGCTGCATACTCCAGTATGGGCATGACGTACACGGTGTACAGTCTTGAACGATTCCTTACTGAGGTATCGGAACGCTATTGTCAGGTTTTCCAGGCGCCCATATGCTGCAGCAGTTATCTGGTTGATGTGTGTTCCGGAGACATGTTCAATATTATACTCACCCCAAGATCTTTCTCCTTAAGTGAGGTTTGCAGTCTTTGGCCACCTAGCATATATTCTGTCTGCGGTCTTCTTTGCTCATCTCTGATCTTCATGACTTTGCATTTGGCAGGGTTAAATTCGAGAAGCCAGTTGCTGGACCAGGCTTCCAGCCTGTCTAGGTCTCTTTGTAGTCCTGTCTGATTCTCATCTGATTTAATTCTCATAAAAATTCACATCGTCTGAGAACTGGGACACATCTGAGTCTATCCCTTCCATCATGTCATTCACATATTTAAAAAATAGCAATGGTCCTAGGACTGACCCCTGTAGGACCCGCTCGTCACAGGCGCCCACTGTGATACCTCATCCTGTACCATGACTCGTTGTTGCCTCCCTGTCAGGTATTCTCTGATCCATTGCAGTACCCTTCCTGTTATAAGTGCCTGATCCTCTATCTTCTACACTAATCTCTTGTGAGGAACTGTGTCGGAGGCCTTCTTGCAGTCAAAGAAAATGCAATCAACCCACCTTATTCTCTCTCTCTCTCTCTCTCTCTCTCTCTCTCTCTCTCTCTCTCTCTCTCTCTCTCTCTCTCTCTCTCTCTCTCTCTCTCTCTCTCTCGTGTCTTACTTCTGTTACCTTGTTATAAATCTACAGAAGGTTTGTGACACAGGATTTGCCTTCCATGAATCCGTGCTGGTGTCGTGTATAATCTTGTTCTGTTCCAGGTGCTCCACCATTCTCCTCCTGATAATCTTCTTCATGACTTTGCATACTATACACGTCAGTGACACAGTTCTATAATTTAGTGCTTCGTTAAAAAAGGCCTGAGCTTGCTACCATCTGCAGCTCATAAGACTGCCATCCCCACGAGCCCCTTTGGGGAGGGGCAGATGGCAGACCAGAGGTCTAGCTTCTCCCTACGAGCCTCGTGAGGGCAGAGAATGTGGCTAGGCCTGGGGACAATTGGTCCCAAAGATGAGGGGGTACTTGTACCTTCTCCCATGGGAGACTTAGGTCTCGAGACACTCCCCAGATAGGGAGCCAAGGCTGGGTCACCACCGGGCGGGGAGAATACCGGCGAATAAAAAATAAAAAAAAGTGCTTCTTTTCTGTCTCCTTAAAAATTGGGGCTACATTTGCCGTCTTTCATTCCTCAGGTAGTTGCCCAGTTTCAAGGGATGTGTTGAAACTTTGGCTGTGTGCCTCTGGCAATGTGAGTGTGTGTGTGTACTCACCTATTTGTGGTTGCAGGGGTCAAGTCATAGCTCCTGGCCACGCCTCTTCACTGATTGCTACTACGTCCTCTCTCTCCGTGCTCCATAAGCCTCATCAAACCTCGTCTTAAAACTATTTAT